GTCCACACTGGCCATTCAGCTGGTATAGTTTTATATCATGAAAAAAATCACCCTGGTCAAATATAACCCATGCATAGAGCAGGCTTTAAAGTAAGCAATGCCAGTTTATGTAGTTGCCCCTAGCAGGTGACATGAGCCTGCACTGACCCTCACAGTTACCCCCACAGCTGACACACAGCCTTCCTTGTCTATGCCAAGGAGTAAGGCAGTCCTGAACACGGTACTAACTAAGATGCTCTGGATACATCTGTGCTGGGAAATTAAGCAGCCCCTGATCTCTGGAGCACAATCATCTGTATCGTTGCATTGCTACTGTGGTCCCTGTGATGCTTTTGCCCCCGCAGTTAGCAGTGTCCCAGGCTGTTCCCAGGCACAGAGCAGGAGCCGTCCTCCAGAGGCAGTGTGGATGTAAGCAGTCAATTTGGGAGAGTAAGGCCGTTTAACACTATGGATGCAGCCCTCTCCATACTGACTGGCTGCAGGGCCAGAGAGCAGCCCCAGCAGCACTGAATTTATTGGTGCAGAAGATGAGGCCTCAGCAGCAGGAGAAAGACCAAGGATGTTTCTTCCTAAGAAAAAAAGCCACCCTGCCACGAGGATGCTACGACCTCCAGCCCCATTTCCCCTGCCTCCCTGCCCTGCTTGCCAGGCAGCAGCCCCCACACAGCAGCGAGCCTGTCATCCACCTCTGCCTCACTGCCGGCAGTAGGATCAGCCATCATGTTTTCACAACAGAAGGCTCCGTGTTTCATCTGAAAATCTGCCCCATAATGCACATCAGGTTTTTTCCAGCCAGGCTCTCGATTTCTTTGACTTGCATAGTATGTAGCAGAGACACAAGCAGAAAGCCAGCTCTCAACAGCCAGGTGAAAAAAGTGGCTCCTGAAGAGGGAAGGGAACAGAGTCTCCCCGTTCGTCTGACACAAGTAGATCTCAGGCATCATGAGAGATCACTACTTAGTTTGGGATTTGGCCAAGGAGAAGTAGTTCTCAGGTCATTTTCTTTGAAATATACGACTGTGGACGTTAGGCCATAACAATAGGGAATTTTCCCAGGGCCTGTCAGCAGAGAATTCCCATCCGTATCATTTCTACAGCTTTCCTCCTTGTCCTCCATAGTCCCAAGCCAAGTTCAATCTGTATCTCTACCTACAAAATGGTTTTCCTGGAAGAGAGTCTGCTACAGCAGAAAGCTAGCTCGATTGTAGGTGCTGATCTGTGAGAGGAGGCTGATGGCACTGTGGCCCCTCACGTTAACACCGCCGTGTGTGGCATCCTTTCTGGGCCACGGGCACACAGCTACATCGCATCCCCCATGCACACCCTGTGCACACACTTATACCACCGCAGTTGCATCCCTTCCCCCACCAGTTTATCTCCTTGCTGCCAGTCCAGGGTTTACGTATCCTCTCTGAGATGATGGATGTTTCAATTGTGATAGGGGTCTTTATTCCATGCAAGCATCTCAAAGCGCTTTACAAAAATAGCTCACCGCCTCGCAGACAAGCAATCTGACATGCAGAGATAGGAAATAGCCTTACTTGCCTTGGAGGGTATTATAACATTGTCCACCACCGTAGTATCCTCTCACAAGCACAAATGACCTTCTCCCTCTTAGCACAACCAGGAGGCCCCCATTTTCCTCAGGTCTTGGAAAGATTAAGTGACACAGGTCCAAGGTTGCGCAGGAAGTCTGGTAGGAGCACTGGAAATAGAAGGGGGCCCTCCTGAGTCCCTCTGCAGCGCCTTGACCACAAGACCATCCTTCCTCTCCCAAGGTTACACATCAGGTCTGTGGTGGAGCCAGGAATAGTACCCATGTTTCCTGACGCCCAAGCTGTCCTCCCGCACTGTGTACAAAGTAAGCACAAATATCAATTTAAAGCAATTTATAAACCCATGTCTTGCAATTAAACCTAAGACATGCTGGCTGAACCCAAAGCTTCCTACATTTCGAAATCTGTGACGCGCCTCATTTAAAAAGTCCCCTTCCACAAACAGGGCAGCTAATACCTGCCTGCAGCTAACTCTCCCTGGCTGTCTCAGTGCCGCTACGCTCCCGCCATGTCTTGTCCATGCCCACCCTGCAAAATACTTTGTCACTTGCTGCAGAGAAACAGGTTCGCAGCCAGAGGCGTGGGCTGAGGGGTGCTGTCTCCGGCCACCCTGTTGAGACCTGGCACCAAATAAGGCCAAACCCTCCCTGGCCGCTGCAGGGTGGGGAGGAGGAGATGAGGAGATGTTGCAGGTCAAGGTGGGGGCATGAAGGGACGGTGCTGCAGCCACAGCCTGAGGAGGGCCCCCAGGCCCCCGTGGTCCTGGCACAGCGTGCAGGCTGGTACCCGGGGGATGAGCCGCACGGGGAACAGACCCGGCTAGACCGGCCTTGGGCTTTCATGTCCCCTCCCATGGGGACACATGCTGCGTCTGTACGTGCAGCTTCCCCAGAGAGAGCCGGAGATGTGCTGTGTCAGGAGGGGCATGGTGCCACGTGTCCCTGCAGCTTGTTGGAGCCTTTCCATTAATTTTAATGGGCTTTGGATCAGGCCCTGAATTCTCAGCTGTCCTGGCTAAACAGCCTCTCCAGGCAGGCTCTCCTCTCATTTTAGACTGAGGAGGCCTTTCGTACACCCTGCTGACAGGGAGGTTCCTGCCGCTTTTTGGCAGCAGATCTCCCCTCCCGGGGTGAGCGCTGCCCTGGCAGGGCTGGGCCAGGCAGGCAACATCGCTGGCCCTTGCCCGCAGCGTGCACCACCTGCACGCACGGCTCAGCACCTGCGTGTGCCGCCTGCTCTGTCTCAAGCAAACATATGCATGACCTTCACCCCCTGCTCAGATCATCCTTTCTTTTTTTCCACAGGAAAAACCCAGGTACTAAAGGTGAGGAGTGGGGATCCAGTGCTCCATACTGCATGCCTCAACCTGCTGTGGTCACCGAGAGCCCCTGTATACGCACACGCTCAGGTTTGGGGGACTCAGCAATCCTGTACAAGAAATAAATCCTGCATGTGGCAGTAGCCCCAACCCTGCTCAAGACAGAAATAGAAGAAGCTGTTGGGCTCATCTGCAAAGCCATCATTTCAGAAGGTGCTTCAGAGGGCAAGACCATGCCCTTCTCTTTGCCAACAGTACATTTTCCTTCACTCACCAAGCTCAGCACTTCTGGTAATTAGCACACTTACACAAACTGAACTTTCCGAAGCTGTTTTATATTTAAGTGAAGTTAGGTAGATGCCGATGCTGTGCCTCTTTACAAAAGCCAAATGCTTTTCCAGACCTTTACCTGACACCATATTAAAGTAGTACTACTTGTAGCACTAAAGACCTGATGTTATAGAGGCTCTCAGCCATCAATGACCTTCCGTTCGTAATTGCTACTTCTACAGAAGCAGCATTAAGAGTGCCCAGCTAAGACCATGGCACTGACCAAGCAAAATGCAGTACATCGTAAGAGACAAGCCTGCTCCAAAAAGCTTGGAAAAAAGAGGAAACAGAGAGAAATAAAGTGATTTGACCAAGGTTGAAGAGCAAGTTGGCAACAGAGATGGCAATAAAACCTAACAAAGCTGACTTGTTTGTCCAGTCTGTGAGATATGTTGCTCTGAACACCTGCTGCCATACACACCGTCGTGCCTCGTTTAACGTATGATGCATTGACTGGTTATTGGCAGGTTGTTATGTTACTGCTCAGATTGAAAATGCTGTTCAGACCATCACCGACTGGCTGGTTTTTAATATATCACTCTTCCCATGAAAAATTTCCCTAAAAAGACACTTTGGGATAAATGAACAGGATTACCCTGTCGAGTCACTTCATGAGAAGTGAATCAGTAGATCTTGTCTAAGGTTTGGCTTAGCGAGGAGGCCTTATAGACGGACAAGCCCCTGCAGTCAGTGTGATTTTTCCATTGACCTCACACCGAGATACAGTTCCAGTGGTTCATGTACTTAGGTATGCTAAAACAAGGGGAGCACATATATACTTCAGAGTTATAGATCACCAGCTGCAGCAATTGCTTGATTATATCTGCTAACCTATTCTTTGCATTTAGGATAGCATCCCCCTCCCCTGAAGGGAATGGGAACAGAATATTTTCATCAGCTCCCAAAAGATGCAGGGGATGGCCCACAACAATTGGAGTGGGTTCAAAAAATAAATTATTTCCTAGATTTTCCTTTTCTTCCTGAAGTGGAAGAACACTTTGCCCATTTCTGTTTTAACATGCAGCACAACCTGAAAGAGAGCTAGTTAGGGCAAACTAAATTGGGGAAGTTGCCTGAGCGTTTGGGGCCAAGCCAGGGGATGGGATCACACCCTGCCCCAGTATGAAGGCAGCATGCACCAGGGGCAAAGTTGAAACCAAAGATGCAACTGATACTTTAGACAGACATCACAGCCAGAAGAGTTGTGGCCACCAGTCGATTCAGTGTCACCCTTTCCAGGGGAGGGAAGTGCCACCCCCCCCCCAAAGCAGGTGTGACTGAGGGAGCTCACATCCCATGGGTGTGCATCAAGGGCCTGAGCCGAGGGGGCTGTGCCGGCACGCCCTGGATGTCCCATATTGCCCTGGGCTCCAGGCAACTGTTTGAGGTTGTGAGAAATGAAGAGCTGAATCACCATGAGCCCCGTGTCTGGATTGCGATGGAGCGTACTCCCGTTGCTCTTCCTCGGGAAACGGTGCCGAATGTGTTTATATATACACAGCCCAACATGACTGAGCAAACATTACTCAAGGTTTTGACAGACATTTGCCTTTGGGCTAAGAGTGAGCACAACCACAACCATGGGGTCAACAGTTCAGAAGGTTAGGAGGGAAAAGAGGGGGTGTCTACACAGAACAAGTTGTTCCCCATTCTTTGTGATAGGTCTCGGTCCTACCCCGTCCACCCGTGAGTCCACAGAAGCCTGTCAGATGCCTGGTAGCAAGGTTCAGTCAGTTTATCATCGGTTATGGAATAAACGTAGCACTCTGATTATCATTAATAATATTTATTTTGGAAAAATATTTTAAAAATGAATTTCTTCATTAACAAAACGGTAAAAAAAACCTCAAATAACATTTGCACAATATTCCATAAATACATTTATATACAAAAAAATATAGTCACATAGACCCGAAGTGCCTTTGTACATATTTACCAAAAAATTTAAATTATAAAAAAATGAACATCACAAAATACTCAAGCTTTACAATTATCATGAAAATATTTTTACAGATTCAAAAAAATAACACACTTTTTCTCACCTAGTAAAAACACATTTTAGTATCAAAAAAGACAATAAAGGCAGTGTCTGTGTCTCTAATTCAAGAAAAGACTGGCTCATAAGAATCCAAAATATACACTTCAGGCAGTGCATGCTTCTTATGTAGTACTTAAGTCCATTCATTTAAATATATATAGAAAAGCAACTGACCATAGTGCAATGATAAAATTCGTAAAAGGCAGTGCAACAGTAATCCTTGAACACAGACCCTTGCCTGGTGTCCATCTTGTTTCTTTATTTTGCAGTCACTTTGCTAACTTCAGTAGAGAACCAGCTCAAGCCTGAATTTAGTTTCTCAGCAGCAGTCAGTGAAGGAATCTATCTCCCATTCCTCTTTCAGCAGCATTCATTGGGGCACGTCTCCTCTGAAATTGTTCTGAACAACCACCTTGCCATATCACCTCTGGTTTACACCTGGTGAGAGAAAACATGAGCAGAGATCAGGAGAGGTTAATGGAAAGTAAAAAGAGGGCTGTAAGGCTGTGGAGGGTCGGGACTCTATCGTTACGCCGGGCAGGAACGGACTCTGCATGAAGCACGCTAAGGGGTATGTCAGCAGACCACAACCACACTGTCCTTGTACCCTTGTCGTACCCACAACAGCCGTCGTACCCACAACATCCACAGCAGCAAGTCACTGAGCTTGCCTTCACAACATCCACAGCATGACAGATGAGCTGGCTGGATTTCAACGGGTACAAATCGCTGTGGCACCACGGAAAAGAGTTTAGCTGCCCTGATGTCTGTTAGATGAGGGTTGCGCACCGAGACTTTTCTCTACTGTTCCAGCTGCCAGGCACTATACTAACCTCAGTTGCTATGATGCACTCGTCTTTCTCTTCTGATATGACATACACCGACTGGTACTTTGTGTCCTTTGAAGTGGAATATACTGAATCTGGTCGTTTTCTTTCAGAAGTATCACTATTGAAGACAAAAAGAGACAACACAGGTCAGATGGCTGTTGCTTAACGCTACCTATGAGACACACACACCCCCTTCAAAGCCAAGCTGTCCCCCGCACTCAGATGTGAGAGATACCTCTTTAGTTGTACTGCACTTTTCTCCTCTGCCTCTGAATCATACGTTTCACACTTGGCTTCACATTTGCTGTGCTCCTCTTTAACAGAGTCCTCGTTCTTGAGTTCATGCACCAAATTGTAATCCACTGATGGGTATCTGACTTTGTAGCCATTTTTATCGGAGTTATCGCTGTGAAAGTCTATTTTCTTATTCGTGTTTTTAATCTGAGTGGCACCAATGACACTTATGGAAATGTCCTTCTCACGCTGGCAGTTTGCCAGGTTGTTCATGGTCTCAGTCTCGCTTCTGCAGGCATCAGGCTGGTGGTGCCTCTTCTGCACTCTGAGCCTGACACAGACAACCACAGCAGCGCACCCCAGCAGCAGCATGAGGACCAGAATAATCCCGGCGCAGACGGCGATCCAGGGGAACTGGGCGTTCTGGCCTTCTGTGTACTTCTCGGTGAAGTCGACGATGACTGGTCCCTGAGGTGGCTCGGGGAGCAAAAATTGGCAGTTGAGCCCGCCATACCCCCGGGCGCACTCACAGACGTAGCGGTTGTTTCTTTCGTGGCAGGTGGCCCCGTTGTGGCAGGGGTTGTGTTCGCATCTGCTCACTGGGGTGCTGCAGTTCTTCCCGTTGTATCCCGGGGGGCAGGTGCAGGAGTAGTCATTGACGCCATCCTGGCAGGTCCCTCCGTTGACGCAGGGAAAGGAGGCACAGTCATCCACGTTATCATCACAGTGTCTCCCAGTGAAGCCAGCCTGGCACTGGCATATGTAGGAGTTCCCCAGATCGACACACTGGGCTCCTGCAAGACATCAAGGGGGACGAGCGCTGAGTGGTGGGCAGCCAGACCTGACAGCTTCCCACCTGCCACTCTCAGGGCAACCATCATAACCTGCAGCTGAGAAAAGCTTTCTTTTTGAGAGGTTAGCTCAACCTTTGCCAAGTCTGATCCATCATAAAAAGTATGGGGTTTTTTTTAAGGAAGATATTTGTTAATCAGATCTATTTTTCATTCTCCATCCTATTCCCTTTTTAACATTTCACTCAGCTTGGACAACAAAGCTAGCCCAGATCAGGTTAAGACCACAATCTCACGTTACAGAGTTTGAGTGGCAATGAATGAGGAGGACTGCAGTAAAGAAAGTCTTCACTAGTTTAATCGAAACAGGAAGATTACTGTTACCAGATTGCAAGCAATAATATTTAGCGCTTGTATGGCATTTTGCATCCACAGACCTCAAAGAGTCTTTGCAAAACATTTGCAAGTATAATCCTCCACATTTGCATGCATGAAGCTTCGGGCCAAGTTACCTGGCCACAATCACCCCTTGAGAAAATGCGATCTGCAGCAGTGGCCCAAACCACACTGTTACTTTTTAAGTACAGTTCCTCCATCAAGTCAACTATTGACATGATGTGGACCATGATTGATCATTGGGCCTTGTTATAAACTCCAGACCAGAAGGCAAAGTAACTGGATGGTCTCCTTTTAGAAGGTCACTGTAGCATGTTTGGCCTTACCATTAGCACAAGGGCTGGAGCTGCAGTAATCGATTTTCTTTTCACAGTTGAACCCAGAATAACCCAGTGGGCAGCGGCAGCTGTATCCCCCATCAGGGTTGTCGGTGCATCGCCCACCATTGAAGCACGGTCCGTCAGCACAAGTCATCGCGCTCAGCTCACAGTTTTTACCATAGAAGCCTGGGGGGCAGGTACAAGAATAGCTGTTCTCGAGATCCTGGAGGGAAGAAATGAGAAATGGTTAAAATATTTACCTGAAGTTGCTTTGAAATCCAAAAAGGGATTTTGAAAATCGGTAAAACTGACATTAACTCCTCCCTTGGGTTTTCAGGTGGTACAAGCGACTCAAACTTACAGTGCAGCTTCCACCATTCTTGCAAGGGTTGGCGTCACATTCATTGATTTCAATCTCACAGTTGGAGCCTGTGTACCCAGGTCGGCAAGAACAAGTGTAGCTCCCCTGGCCAGTGTTGGTGCATGTGGCACCGTTCTTGCAGGGCTTGTGGTGGGTGCAATAGTTCAGGTCTGTAAAAGACATTTTTTTTTTGTTTTTAAGAAGAGGGCAATCAAGATACTCGCTACTTTGCAAGGCTAGCACAGGGTGGTTGAGCTGGAAATAGCTGCTTGCTTTCTGCATTTTAAAACAGACGCTCAGGCAAGGACTGAGAACTCACCCTGGTTGCAGAAAAGGCCACCCCAGCCTTCCTGGCAGTTGCACTGCCACGGCTGCTGACAGGTACCATGAAGGCAGCCTGGGTATCGGATGCACTCATCACAATATCGCCCCTGCCAACCCACTCTGCATCTGAAAAAAAAAAAAACCAACAACAAAGTCTCGTCAGATTTAGACTTCTCACAGTTGGAAACCCTATCACAAACTCTGCAAACACATTGATGCCAGGGATCAAGTTTCCTAAAAGCCTTCAGTGATCCTTCATGTGAGAAAGTCACCGAGTCCAACGTAGCATCAGCTTTCATCGGTCCCAGCTATTTCTTCCACTTCCTTAGATAGAGCCATGGTTCCAGGTAGTTAATTTGTTTACTCTAATAACAAACAGCTAAACCTTACACATAGCACTGTAAACTCATTAGGTTAATATTAATGGCACTGATGTTTGACTTGTAGATTAATACTTTGATCTGGCATCACCTGGATTTCTCAAATTACCATCTAATATGAAGGCATTTAAACCAACCCTTCAAATGACCGATGGCTTACTTAACAGCAGAGCATCAACGTTAAAGACAAAGAAGGGAGCAGGAGGGGAGCGGAAAACTTACTTGCATTCCCCAGGTTTGTCGCAAAAGCCATGTTGCTCATCGCATCCAGGCAAACAAATTGCTGTAAACAAACCAAGCAGGGAGAGACATCAGCACCGGGGTCGGACGCCTCCCTTTTACAAGTCCGATCCCAAGAGCACCTTGCACGTGGGGAGCGAGCCCCTTTTACTAGGTCGGGGTAGTTAAGCGCAGCTGAGTTAGTTAATCTCTGGAGTCTGCAGGAGTATTGATCTCGCCCCGTAACTGGGCACTTTACTTATCGCCGGGGATGAGCATTCTTCTTAATACAGTTGCACACAGACAAAAGAGGGCTCACAATTGCTCCCTTCCCCACAGCCCCTCACCCCCCTTCCCTTCCCAGTGAGGGTCAGAAGTCCTTTTTTCCAATTCTATGCACACAGCTCCACCTCTTAATATCCCCCGAAAGTGTGTGTGCAGATAAGAGTGGACAGCTGGTGTGCAGGGTGCCAGTGCAAGACAGCTGCTCTATTGTCTATTCTCTCCCAGCAGCTGCCCCACTGCAACAAT